TCAGCGACGTCTCATAAACCGTTAATGCCCAGCTCTTGCTACGCTCGGCTCACGCTGTTCCTTGAAGTTTTCAGAAACGCTTAGTAATAACGGACGCAAAAACCAAAACACCAATTGGCGACTCGAGGATTCTTTATTGTAACACCAACATATATATACAATGTTACAACTAAGTTTTCTGACGGTTTTCTGCTAACTTCTTTCTGAACGGCGACCGATGAGAAGATGACTGTCGTATTGATGCCTCCGCGAAAAATTGGGGAAGTTGGTTTTGAGCGAACAACCATGAATTGATCGTTCAATCTTCAACTACATTTACAGGGTCCAACCAAATCTATATGGACGTGTTCAAAACGAGCGTCAGGGAGAAGAAAGGTGCCAAGTGGGCTTCTGGTGTTTCTTATCACCTTGCAGTTTTGACCAGCTAGGCACGTGTGTGCCCATTCCCTTACTTCCTTATTAATGCCAGGCCAACAAAACCGACTAGTTACGAGCTTGACAGTAGTTCGAATACCTGGGTGAGATAGGCCATGCAACGTATCGAAGACGTTACGGCGATAACTTTTAGGCACGATGGGGCGAGGAGTACTCGTGGAAATGTCGCATAGAATAGTATCTCTCCCCATACCTAACGGTTTCTCAGCTAATTGCAGAGTTGTTTCCGACAACTCATGTTGAAGCTCTGTAACTTCCTTTTGAAGACGAGCCGGTTTTACAAGGTCTATGCCGTCGATTTGGGTGAGGGAACAAACGCGCGACAAGGCATCTGCCACAGTGTTGTTTACTCCGGATACATGGCGAATATCTGATGTAAACTGTGAAACGTAATCCAGTTGTCGTGATTCCCTGGGCGAATACTTATCTGAAGGTGAGTTCAGAGAGTACGTCAGAGGTTTGTGATCAGTAAAAATTATGAATTCACGACCCTCTACTGAATGTCGAAAATGTCGTATAGCACAGTACAAAGCCAGAAGTTCTCTGCCGAATGTGCTGTACTTGGTTTCAGCTAATTGAAGGCGCCTCGAGAAAAAGGCGAGTGGTTGCCACTCATTGTCAAATAGCTGTTGTAGAACTGCGCCGATTGCAGTGTTTGATGCATCAACCGAGATAATTAACGGTGCCGTTGGATCCTGATACATCAGAAGTGTGGCATTCGCAATGGCTTTTTTAACCTGGGTAAAAGCATTTCGAGCAGACGCGTCAAGTTCGATAGACTTGTTATTCCCTCGAAGAGGGTCTGTCAATGGCTGAATCGGAGAGGCACAGTTGGGAATAAAGCGTCGATAATAACTTACTAAGCCATTAAAAGTGTGGAGACTTTTCACCGTCTGTGGCTCTGGGAAGTTCAGTATAGCCTCGGCCTTAGTAGCCAGTGGGCGAATGCCTATGCAGTCAATAGTGTGGCCCAGGAAGTCGAGTGAGTCAACACCGATTTGACACTTTTCAATATTAATGGTAACACCATATTGGCGTAACCTTTCAAATGCCAAGTCCAAGTGCCTAAGGAGAGTTTCCTTGTCTGGACTGGCAATGAGGCAGTCGTCTAAGTATGCATATACAAAGTCGAGACCGCGAAACACTTCGTCAATGAAGCGTTGGAATGTTTGGGCTGCATTCCGAAGACCGAATGGCATACGTAGAAATTCAAAAAGTCCGAAAGGCGTAATGATAGCCGTTTTCGGGATATCTTCTGTTGCCATTGGGATTTGGTTAAACGCTTTAACCAAGTCGATTTTAGAGAATATAGCTGCGCCAGATAAGGTTGCCATCAAGTCATGTAAATGAGGTAACGAGTAGCAATCAGGGGTTGTTTTGGCATCCACTCGCCGGTAATCACCGGTGGGTCGCCAATCATTGCTATCCTTTTCCGGCACCATATGAAGTGGGGATGCCCACGGGCTATTCGAAGGTCGAATGATGCCAAGGGTAAGCATATGGTCAAATTCATTCCTGGCGATTCTCAATTTGTCAGGAGCCAGTCGTCGTGCTCTAGATGTCATGGGTTGTCCTGTGGTAATGAAGTGGTGCATAACATTGCTGGTTATGCACGGTAGGTCGTTCGACAGGCAATTAAGTTCCGGATACTTGTCAACCATAAGTTGAAAAGTTGGATCAAGGATTGCCTTTATCTTAACGGGTGACAAACTAGGGCCTATGTAGGTGATGCCTTTGATAGACAGACTAGTAGTATTGTCAATCAGTCGTTTTCGGCGGACGTCTACGAGTAAATCATGATGATTAAGTAGGTCCGTGCCAATGATGGGCATTGTAACGTCAGCGAGAAGGAAAATCCACCGAATAGGTTTGCGTAAACCTACGTTCAGATAGATGTATTTCCTACCAAGGGTTGCGATTGGTTTTCCATTTGCAGCCTGTAAGTTGAAGGTAGGTTCCTTCTGTCGATCTGCTGCTGTAGCAGGAAGGACGCTGACTTCGGCGCCTGTGTCGACTAAGTATCGAGTCTGGCTTATCACATCATGGATGTAAAGTAGGCGGCTAGTGCCACCGGCGACGGTTGCCGCCAACGCGTGCCGGCGGGATAGTTTCCCACAGACTTTGAGACATTTCCGAAGTCACAAGGCTTACGGCAACACTTCGCTTCTTGGCCATAGGTGTCGTGGCACCAGCACCAGTCAGGGTTTTTCAGAGAACGTGGTTTGAACTTAGATTGACCACGTGAGTTTCTGCGTTGAGGAGATTTAGGACGACGGTCGGAGGAGTTAGAATGTATGTTCGACCTAAACATCTGTTGGATGGAGTTGCATAACTCTATCATTGCAGGATCCTTACTCGAAGTCTGCTTAGTCATCGAGCATATTTCGGGAACTGACCGTTTAGTTATTTGTAGAATCCTATCTGCGGAAATAGCTAAGTCATCTATTACAACACCCTGAAGTGTCACAAGTATGGTCTGTACAGACTGTGGCAGCTTGGAAAGGAACAGTTCTCTAAATAGTCCTTCGTCGAACTGACTTCGGCCAACAACGTCCCTCATTCTTGACAGCATGCTCACGGCTGACTGATCTCCTAACTCGATGTTACGAAATAATTCGTCCAGACGTTGTCGGTCCGTGAGAACGTTTCTCCTGAGGAGGGATGTTTTGAGCAACTCGTACGAGTTACTTACCTCGGGACTCAACACCTGTGAAGTTACGTACTTGCTGAATTCCCGCTGTAGGGCGTGAATAACTGCAAGTAACTGTGAACGGTGATCGGTTATCCCATGCTCACAAAAATCTGCTTCAGCTATCTGAAACCACGTTTCAGCATTATCTGGCCAGTATGGTACGAGCTGAATGGTTTTAGGAGTTGAGCGGATACGAATGACCTTGGGACTAGGATCACTCATGACGAAAAGTAAGTCGAATAAAATATGGTACAAGAACAAATACAAAGAGGAACGAGCTGACCGGGGTTATCTGCGTATTTATCGTGGATGAAGTTCGCGGTTGGGCTCACCAGTTTAGAGGTTGACGGTATAGGCGTTCACGAACAGTACAAAAGTTTATTGGCGCAATCTCTTATATATCAACCTCTAACTTATTAATTCTCGCCTACCAAAAGCAAAGCAAAAGACAATATGTGATCGTCCAAATTACGCGATATATTTCGGGACCAAAACGAGTTGTTAGACGAACGCTTAGCTGGCTAGTGATCGTGCCGCACGTGACACAACGGAGTACCAAATGACGGGGATGCTTGACCGAAAGCCTTCAGCTAAACAAGTCGACTTAAACAGTGGTGGTCAGCATTCAATGTTGAGTGATGAGTTCTGTGGTCAATAATTTTGGGGAATTATTTACCGCTACGAGCTTCAAGCCTTCTATATTCAATCAGTTCTGATTGTGTATAAAATGTTTAGATTGATACTAAGGCGACTTAATTGAGTCAGACACTAATCCTCTTCTTCAGTAATATTTATTCTTCATATCGATATTTAATTCAAAAGTTTATTGCTTGTTCTAACTTCTATGAATATGTAAAAGTCTTTGAAGAGTGTTCTTTACGTAATTATCAGGTTCCCATTATGAGTGTAAATAGTTGTAAGCAAGATGATTCACATCTACAATTAACGCTCAATCCAAATTAGTTATTGTGACACTGATTTTCCTTCAATCTTCTTATATGTGCAGATCTAGATAATTTTTCATATATACAGCGGTGCTCCTTCGGCCGCGAAAATTGATCAATTGCGTCACGCGTCACATGTTTTTCGAGAAAGTGGGTGTCTTTTATGAGGTGATTATTCTGATGAAAAGCGTAGACCTGTGATTTAAATTATACATAATATTTTGCTGGCACGTTGACTTTCCACTATGAAGGGATCCGGGAGGTTGCGGGACACTGAAAAAATAAGTGCAGGGTTATTTATAAGATTCATTTTTCTGTGTTCTTTAAGCTACTAAACACCCTACTTGGGAAAATTCGAACATTTATATTGACTGGTAACCTTTAATGAAAAATGCAATTCTATTTCATAATTTCCAACACTTAACAGAATAAAATCAAATTTGGGTGACTAGACTAAAGCAGCCCAAAACGAAACTACCTTATGATCGGATTAATGACCCTGACGAATTTATTACAGAAGTGGGTTTAGCCTGACTATGGGACTCCGTGAGAAACTGGGAGGTTTTTTTGGAACATACATAATATTTCCCTAATAGCCATCTTTTTAGCATTGCGTAAGATTGCGCACTTCTACTTCTTGCGAATCTGATTGCTCGATGATGGTAGTTTCGTTTTCGGTTGCCATAGCTTAGAGTCATTCAAATTTAATTCTGCACTTGACTTGTGTTTGAATTATTCTCTTGCTCTAGTCAGGCATATATTATGTTTCGATTCTTACTCATAGAAAAGTGATCGAAGGTATCGACTAGCAGGTCTACATTATAAAACATGTTGATCATATCCTATATGTGAAGTTATAGTGTTGTCTTTAAACTGCATTTTTTCTCACAGATTGGTGCCTGTATAACAAACAGCGTAATCGGATATAAATGACTTTTGAAAAACTCGGTGTATGTCCTGAAATTATCGAATTGCTTCAGGACAAGGGAATTACGGTTCCTACTGAAGTTCAAACAGGTTGCATTCCAATAATTTTAGAAGGTTTCCATCCTTTTGAATTTTGATTTCCACTTTAGGAAATGATGTGGTTGCATGTGCAAAAACTGGTTCTGGGAAGACAGCAGCATTTCTAATTCCTATCCTTCAGTCGTTGATGACTGAGTTAAGACCGCTGTATGCCCTGATAATCACTCCTACAAGGTGACAGTTTTCTTAATATTTTGATACTATTTCATTTTTTTTCTAAATTTGAATTAAACCCGATATTTAAAGTCTTTAAGACAAATTTCATGGTGTTCATATGCCAGTCCTTCACACAAGATGACTTTTGGTATTTAAATTTTATAATATTGGTATTCATTTAGTTTTAGCTTTATAAAGTTGTTCCGTTAAAATAGGAATAAACTAAACATATTTTTTGAGGTAGTTTATTGTATTCAAAACCAGTCGTTAGAGATATGTGACTGTACATAAGCTCTGTCGATTTAAGTTAGCCATTTTAAGTGCAGTTTGAGGGAAACATCAGTAGCATAAATGTCCATTTTAAAATATTCCTTTATTGATACTTCTTAATGGAGGATTATTTTGGTTCACAATCTACTTTTGGAAAACCAGTGTATCGTCTTTCGTATTTTGTAATCCCAAACGTAATTGATGGGCCTAAATCTATTCTTAACTTTTTTCACAATGTTAATCAGTGGTTCTCTCTGGTAGGAGTGATAAGAATAATCATTTAGGCTTTTATAAAAGGAAATACCATTGTGCAGACAAGTTTTTGTCATTTCAATTCTTTGTACGTATTATAAAGAAGGGGGATCAGACTTACTAGGACTAGAAGGTATGTTCCACCACTTGAGTACCGGCTTTCTACATCACTCTGTTTCTTGTATGCTGTTTGGACGATCACCTTCCAAACTGTGTGTAACCTACTAACTGATCGCAAATATTACGTGATGTTATTGTTTGATCACTAGTAAGATGAAAATGAATGATATTTTATGCATATTATGCATGCGATTTATTGTCAGAGAATTTGAATTGCATAACAAAATCAATGAGAGAAGGATAGTTTATTGATTACGTTTACATTCTTGGGTAAACCAAATCAACTGAATTCATTATCTTAACCACATAGTTTTATTTTCCACTAAATTAATATTACCCGATATACATTCAACCAGACTATGTTCCTATCTGGTAACTATCTTTAGTGCGGAAACTTTGACATATTGGTGCAAAATAAAATTGAAAATACTGGGATATAAAAGCACTTGTTATAATGTAGCTATGTTTTGTGCGTAGTAGTTACCATGCTAGTGATAGCATATCATTGTTGTGAACTTTTCTTATAATACGTATCTAGTCATATTCATATCTCTACCGCTATTAACACTCTTTTTTTCCTTTATATGTTTAAGCCATTCCGGCTTCATTGTAAAATGAATAAAGCCTAAATTCTTGGTTCATTCGTCTTTTCAAGATTCAAGCATCACTCATCGTTCTAAGACTCAATCACCTTCGTAACAATTTATTCATTTTACAATATTCATGGAACGATTTTTCCGACCTGATCGGTTCGACGTAGAACCTAACGCAGTTGGAGCTGCCAAGAAGTGGGATCACTGGTTTGCGACTTTTTCCTACTTCATTGAATCAATGGGATCCGAAAATCCTTCGAAACTACATATTCTCTTCAATCATATTTCTACTTCTGTATACGAATGCATTTCTGAATGCAAAACATACGAAGAAGCTATCGACACTCTCAAGAGTCTCTACATGCAGCCTTGCAACGAAGTGTTTGCTCGACACTTGTTAGCAACGTGTAAACAAGAATCTGGCGAAAATCTGGATCAGTTTGTTCGTCGACTCAAGTCGCTGACTACAGATTGTTCATTCAGGGCAGTTACAGCCGAAGAACATCGTAACGAATCTCTACGTGATTCATTCATCTCAGGTATACAGTCTTCGATGATACGCCAGAGGCTATTAGAACAGCGTACTTTAACTTTTCAAGCGGCATACGATCAAGCACGAGCTCTAGAGATGGCACATCAACAATCGCAGTCATACAACAATCCTGTTACACCTTGCGCGTCCATTTCTTTACATGATGTACCTCATTCATCAGATTCCACACCCTCCGTCAATGAAACAACCATTGCTGCCGTTGAATCCAAATGCTTTTTCTGTGGTAATCGTAGACATCCTCGTTCCAAATGCCCCGCCCGTGATGCAGTTTGCAAAGCTTGTGGCAAGCAAGGACATTTTCAGAAGGTTTGCAGGTCTGCGCCATCTACGAAAAAAGGTCCATCTTCAGTTAACTCTATAATTTCATCTCTCGTTGTGGCTTCAGCACCTCAAAGTCTCACTGATGCTGTTACGCAGCTTACTGTCAATGGGAAATCAATGCAAGCTCTAGTGGATACCGGAAGCAGTGAGAGCTACATCTCTTCCTCAGTTGTTCGTAAGTATAACTGGAAAGTCCATAAGTCTCGAAACAGAATCACAATGGCGAGTACGAATCTTACTAGTCATACTGAAGGACATTGTCTTCTATCCATCTGCTATAAAAACCACACTTATGATCTATTCAAATTTTCCATTCTTCATAATTTATGTGCAGACGTCCTTCTTGGACATGATTTTTTAAAACTTCACAAACACATTGAGATTCCTTTTGGGGGATCAAAGCCGCCTTTTTCTCTCTGTGGTCTACCTTGTGTTCGCGTCGACCTGCCTACTCTGTTTGAAAATCTTTCAAAAGACTGTAAACCGATCGCGATAAAATCCCGGCGTTATTCTCGTGAAGATGAAAGTTTTATTTCCACCGAAGTCAACCGGTTACTGCAAGAAGGTGTTATTGAACCTTCTAATTCTCCTTGGCGAGCTCAAGTTCTTGTTACGTCAAACGAACGCCATAAAAAGAGGATGGTAGTTGATTATAGTCAGACAATCAATCGATTCACTTTTCTGGATGCTTACCCATTACCTAGGATTGACGAAATGATAGAAAAAATCGCACAATATGACATATTCAGCACTCTTGATCTGAAGAATGCTTATCATCAAATTGCCCTAAGGAACGAAGATAAACCATATACTGCTTTCGAGGCTTGTGGGAAACTTTACCAATTTTGCCGAATTCCTTTTGGTGTTACCAATGGCGTAGCTTGTTTTCAACGCATTATCGATGAATTGATCAGTAAAGAACAACTCACAAGCACGTTTGCCTACATTGACAATGTCACTATCTGCGGCAAAACTCAGGAGGAACACGACAAAAATCTAAACAAGTTTATGGTAGCAGCACGCAATTATGGAATAACCCTTAATGATTCCAAAAGTGTGATCTCAAGCAGAAGCATACAATTACTCGGTTATGAAGTTTCAAAGGGGGTTATTAAACCAGATCCCGATCGGCTAAAACCTCTTCGTGATCTAGAACCACCCACAGATATCAAATCTCAACAACGGGCCGTTGGATTATTTGCTTATTATTCACAGTGGATCCCTCGCTTCTCAGATAAAATCCACCCATTGGTAAATAATCGGATTTTCCCTCTTGATATCGAAACTCGAAATGCTTTTGACAAACTGAAAGACGACTTAGAACGTGCAGTCGTTGTGGTAGTTGATCCGAAAGCACCCCTTGTTGTTGAAACAGATGCTTCAGATGTCTCAATTGCAGCTACATTAAACCAGAATGGTAAACCTGTCGCCTTCTTTTCTCGAAGCCTCTCTCGAAGTGAGAAACATCATTCATCGGTTGAGAAAGAAGCCTATGCCGTGGTTGAAGCAATTCGTAAGTGGAAGCATTACCTTCTCGGAAATCACTTCAAACTTGTCACTGATCAACGTTCAGTAGCATTCATGTTTGACAAGATTCATAAAGGCAAAATCAAGAACGATAAAATAATGCGTTGGAGAATTGAGCTATCCCCTTATCAATATGACATCATTTATCGTCCTGGAAGGGATAATCAAGCTGCTGATACATTTTCCCGTAGTTTCTGCGGTTCCTTGCAGTCAGTGTGCGACTTGAAATTTCTCCATGACTCTATGTGCCATCCTGGAGTTGTCCGAATGATGCATTTTGTACGCTCGAGAAACCTTCCATTCTCCCTTGACGAGGTGCGCAATGTAACCAGTAAATGCGTGACATGCTGTGAGTTAAAGCCTCAATTTTACAATCCCTCTAATTTCAAACTCATAAAAGCAACCCAACCTTTTGAAAGGTTAAGCATCGACTTTAAAGGACCTCTACCGTCAGCTAGCCGCAATCACTATCTGCTCACGCTGATCGATGAATATTCTCGATTCCCCTTTGCATTCGCCTGCCCCGACATGTCGTCTCAAACGGTAATGAATTGCCTTTGCCAACTGTTTTCGATTTTCGGTATGCCTTCTTACATACATACCGACAGAGGCGCTGCTTTCATGTCTACCGAATTACGGGCATTTCTTCTGGAGAAAGGCGTAGCAACCAGTCGTACTACCTCATACAATCCTCAAGCCAATGGGCAGGTCGAGCGCCTCAATGGAACACTTTGGCGTGCCATCACTCTAGCATTAAGATCACGGGGCCTACCAACGGCACAATGGGAGTCTGTTCTACTCGACGCCTTGCATTCCATCAGATCTTTGCTCTGTACTGCAACGAACGCCACGCCACACGAACGACTGTTTACCTATAACCGAAGATCGACATCTGGGACAACTCTTCCTACTTGGCTCACTGTACCAGGACCAGTACTTCTCCGGCGGAGTGTTCGTCAGTCCAAATTCGATCCCCTGGTTGAAGAGGTGGAGCTATTGAATTGTAACCCGCAATTCGCTCACGTTCGCTTCGGTAATGGACGTGAAGATACAGTTGCTCTTCATCATCTGGCACCCAAAGGCGAAGATATAGATCAAGTTGAAAATTCAATACCGGAGGGCGACGCAATTCCTGAGCAACAAGTAAATGGGGATGCGACCACTGATCCTAATATTCTTCGTGAAGAAAATACAACTGAAACGAACAACGGGCGTATTCTTTTGGAAAAACAACAACGTGTACGGCCTTACAATTTGCGTACCAGAGAAGCGTGACATAATGGCTCATTCCTTTTCAAGCCGCAGTGAATGTTGTGAACTTTTCTTATAATACGTATCTAGTCATATTCATATCTCTACCGCTATTAACACTCTTTTTTTCCTTTATATGTTTAAGCCATTCCGGCTTCATTGTAAAATGAATAAAGCCTAAATTCTTGGTTCATTCGTCTTTTCAAGATTCAAGCATCACTCATCGTTCTAAGACTCAATCACCTTCGTAACAATCATAATGACGTGCGTGGCATGGTGACCAAATTATAGTAGACTCATTGAGACAATATTAACCAAATGTTAACTCAATTGCGCAGAATAGATTTTTCATGCAACAGGCTATCAAACAAATTTGTTGTGTGTTAGGGTTTATGGTACTATCTAATACTAGCTGTAAAATCCCCAGTATAAAAGCTAATGAAACACAGCTTCACTCGGCGGTGAAGGCGACTACTTTTATAGGGTGTTACAATGGTTAGACTTACCGTTACATGTTGCCGGATCAATATAATGTGAACTTTCCACCTAAACTGACTGATTTCTGCGGCGTCTTTCGTCAAACAGCAACACTGATTCCAGCTGAGTAATTCTTTCTTCGAGGTCAAAATATTCCACATAATTCCTGTAGAGATATTTTGTAATATTCAACAGATAGCAGAAGCTTATAAAATTAAAGGATTCGAGTAACAGCCCCATCTTATTAATGGTTTGATGATAAATGTTTGTGTGTTGTAATTTCCGTGGTACCTGACCGTTAGGTGCTACCATGACGTGTTGTTTGGCCTTGCATATGTCAATGATTTAACTAGCCACGCTGGCTTGAATGAATGTTCTTGCAAATCCTGTCATGTTAGGAAAGTTGTTTGGAAAACAGTCAGACTAATGGCAGTTACCACCCTGAGTGTGAGTCGTATATACTTTGTTTGGGGGTCTGAAAGTGAAGACGCACTTCTGGCTGATAGAAGTGGGACATTAGTAAGTTATTTCTCTCGGACTAGTAGGGAGCCAGTTACGCCACCTGACCACTAATGAGGTGAGTTTAGGAGAGCATTTTGACTTTGAGGCAATCCGTAGCCGACGGTATGACTTTCAAAAAGTATCTGTATTAATGGTTTCAACCACTGGTCTCCTGAGTCATGCAGTCACGCAATACTAGTGATCTTTCTACTCCAGGTATGTTTCAGTCAGTCCTTCTTGTTGTAAGGTGTTTTTATGATGATAATAATAAAAATAATAACGTTAGTGTACATAAACTGCTGCGTGATGGATTTTACGAAAGGTGAACGTAGTTTCAAGTGCATTTAATTTGAAGAATTCTGTATTGAGAGACTTGATAACTTGGATAATATTAGAATCTCGATTTAAAAAATCATTTCTCATTGTCTACTTTCTCTTTCTTGTTTTTGTTTCTTTCCTTTCAGAGAGTTGGCACATCAAATAGGAGAACAAGCAGCAGGTTTGAATTTAATTCAGGGTGAACCTTTGTGTAGTGTGTTGGTGATAACTGGTGGAAGAAGTATAGTGCACCAAGGTATTGATTTGGCTCGTTCCCCACACATTATTGTTGCTACCCCTGGTCGATTAGCTGATCTTCTCCGCACTCAGATAGCTGCACAAGAAGCTGACAGTACCAATAACCCTGAGTGGACATTATCCCGAACCAAAGTAGTGGTTTTGGATGAAGCTGATCGATTGTTAGAGGACAATTTTGGTAAAGATCTAGGTCTCATAATGAAAGCACTCCCCAAGCGTCGACAAACTCTACTTTTCAGTGCTACTTTTAGCGATGCAGTGAAATCTTCTTTAGAAGCTGCAAAATCAGCGGCTACTGCGGAAAGTCGACGTCCACCGATCTTATGGCAACCTGAGAGCATGACTTCATCTTCTGGTGCTACAACCGTCGACACTTTAAGTCAATATTATATTTTAATGCGTCCCGAACACAAAGAGGCATTTCTAGTTCATACTGTTGATCGGTTTCTTTCTGAAAACCCTCATTCGCTTATTATGATATTTACAAATAAATGTAAATGGTGTCACCTTATCGGACTCATGATGAACAGCTTAGGCATGAAAACAACTCTTCTCCACTCTGCTATGACTCAAAAGAATCGCATATCTTCATTGACTCTTTTCCGCTCCAGTCAAATTCGTGTGCTAATCGCAACAGATCTCGCTAGTCGGGGACTCGACTTTCCAACAGTTGATATTGTAATTAATCACAATGTTCCTATTAGACCTAAAGATTACGTTCATCGGGTTGGACGAACTGCTCGAGCTGGAAAAGCTGGTATAGCATTGACTTTATGTGATCTTTTTGAAATAAAACGTTTAAAGGCTATTCAGACATTCATCGGTAAGTAATTGATTTCGAGTGTTTGCTGTTTTCTTTAACTGTTTTACTGAAAGTCTAATTGTTTTTTATAACACTAGTCACACTGTAAGGCCAGCAAAAATAACCCATGGTTATTTTTTCCTGAGTATATGTATCCAGTTTTGTAGTATTTTAAAACTGTAAGTAAAAACTTACCATCCCTTCAAGGTATAGGTCTAGGGGAGAGGGGTAGCGAAAAGTACGGTTTCTTAAGTTGCCTTCTTCCTGAGTCATTGTGATGTATCCATTAGGTGTTTATTCACCTCTGCTGGCAGTTTGCATTGTGTTCAAGGTGCAGTGGAAAAGGTGCTACAATTCTAAAACTAGCTTATATCATACTGGACAAGGTTTCATATTGTAGTCGCCAATTATACGTACAGTTACTCATTTTTGCAGTTTCAGAGGTGACGTTGCAACGGCAGAAGACGAGAGACTTGATAAAGGAATGCTTATTTGGAATTCGGTGTCTCTATATAACGAAATTATGTACACCTTATCTGCAAACAGTCATTTGTACAGATCTTCCTGGTTGTGTTACTTCTACCCTTCCTTCATATTGTATTTCTCTATGTTCGTTTCACGTCTCCCATGTTTTGCTGCAACGCTGAATCATTCGCTCTCTTTAACGTGAAATCTCTCTCCGCTATTTGATGAACGTCTTTATATACTACTGGTAAATCTTATCAGTAGCACACACCATAGTGTTAATTTGATGGCAACTTATACTCACCAAATGCATACTTGCAGTGGATAATTCCCGAAAATATAGCTTGAGCTCACATTAGTAATTTTCAAACTATAATAATACCATTATATTATGGATAAAAAGTGTTATATGTAAACATATAGTAATTTCCGAAAGTTGTGTAGAAAAATAATTATTTAAATTTGAACGGCAGTGTACAATAAGATTACTCGTCAGAATCAGTTGGTTAACAGTCATTTTCCAACACATCGATAGACTCTAGAACCATCCAAATTCATGTTTTCATAAAAATAGACGAACATTTCTTTATTTTTTTTCCTAACCGTTGTTGAATCGTTGATGATTACTATCGATTGATGGCTTTACTTTGTAAGAAGAGTAAGAGCACTAATGTATCCTTTTTGACCACAGATGTTCGCATCCTACCTCCCGTGTTAAGTGGTTTAGTAGGGTGAATGATATTGAGGTTAGGCGTCGGGTGTTAGAAAAGGAAGTTGTGAAGCTACATTGATTGTAATGACTGCGACATTTGTCTCGCATGCAAGCTATCTCCTTCCCCGTCGACCACTGTTAGCTAAAATAGCATTAGGTTGGACAAGAGTTAGGAGTGGAATGGTCCTGCCAAAATCTGGCATCAGTTGAAGTTTTCGATAGTTGGTTTGAACCACAAAGAGAAATTTGGACCACCTGGTTGGGTCTTCGAGATTCTGAGAACGAATAGCTACAGACTATTGGAGGTATGTCTCAAAATCGTTCGAAATAGTGCAGATACATTCACTCTTTGTGACCTGCCATATGCGCTTTTAGGTAGCATGACTTGCTAATTGGTTTCGACGTAGAAATTTGCACCAATGTGCAGCAGTTCGAGTCACCTCAACCAGGAAGTTAACGTCTTCCTACGTGGCTTAAACTAACTGTTGTGGATTTCATTGACTGATGAGGCCATGTTTTGGTTTGACCACCACTGGCTCTTGTTCAACCTGACCCTGTGTCAGCTAACATTGCTCGTCGAGAAAGGCTATGGCTAGGCAAGCGTAGCAACACATGTCCTATACGTCTCAATCGGTGCAGCTGCTTCACAACCTCGTCGATTGATTTTCCCTCCTACTCTCCTAGCACTCGACGCCTAACCTCAATATTGCTCACCTTATTATGCCACTTTACACGGGAAACAGAATGCAGGCACCTATGATCAGAGACAGCTAGCCTTTTTTTGTCTTCCATTCTCAATGGCCAGGTCTCATAAAGGAGGACGGAGCGAACTGCTGCACTGAGCAGTACACACGCCTTTTGGTTGACAGTCAGCCGGATATCACACCTACACCAGAGACGGTGTTAACTGGCGTTACGTCATTGTGCTGGTGTCTCACTATTCATATTACCGCAATTTAACATTACCTGACATGCTACCTCAAAATTATCTGCTAGATGGTTAGGTTCAAGATGTATCTGTACTGCTCAACGGAATATTTTTAATACAGCCAAGAAAGAATCGTTCAGAATGTAGCATTTTATAATCTAAAAAGTTGGGGAAAATTGCTTCTAGAAGATTGTTTACTCGCTTCAATGAGCTAATTTACCGGGTTTACACACTACACACTTTGCTTATTGTCTCATTATAGGTAAAGAGTTGAAAACTTTTGAAGTAAATGAAAAGAAAGTGGGTCAAATTATAGCTGAAGTATCAATTGCTCGTCGTGATGCAGAACGAGTAAGTTAAAATCCGCATTATTAATAATAATTTCAACAGAAATTGGATGAGATACGATTTGATGAAAAACGTGAAATCAATAAGGCGAAAAATGTAAGTTTGAACTCTGTCTTCGTAATTATTAATTTTCTTCTTTTTCCAGTTGTTAAAGTCTAGAGGATCAAGAAAAATGAATGAAACTGAAAATGTACCTAATGAATGAACATACCTTGTAAATAAATCCGACTCATATTGATTGATTTAAATAAAAATATTTTTGACTTGCAAAGTACAGTTTAGTTTTGTTCCACAATTATTATTACTGGGAACTTGTTCCTTAAGCTTTGCTATTCATCGAAATGTAGAAAGTAGTTCACTGAAGTACACAAGTTTCCTTAATCATTATCACCAGCTTAAATCAAGAAGACACACCTTTGTGGAGAGGTGTTCACGGAAAAATTCAGTGATTGATCTACGCTTTTCTTAAGATGCGGAAAGTGCAATATAAGGAATAATTTGCTATCGCTTCTATAGTATTTCAAGCAAAATGACCCTTTCGTCACACCTATTGACAGAATCTGATTGGTTACACGATTTCATCATGAGCTGACGTCGGTTAGAATTTTGGACTCGTCATCAGTATGCACCTACCACTACCCACTACCTTCTGGTGAGTTCGTGGACCATTAAGCAACTAGGACCCGATCCCATTGCCCATGAATTCCAACTTATGCCAATTCACGATTTAGCGCGACTACTAGAGAATGTCTTCGGCAAGTGTTTGTCCTCACGTCCGACCTGCTGTAACCCCACTAGAACCACTGAATAGGGCCAGTCGCTAGTGAGCACTTCATTGATATTCATGTACCGGTTACAGGATTTCATCATGTGCTGACGTCGGTTAGAGAACCATTGGCAAACCTGAGAGTAATGGACAGACTGAAGGATTCAAATCTAGTGCTTTTAATGCTAAAATTCCTGGCCAGGTTAAGGTGAATTCGAGTTAATTACTAGACCGCAAAATCAAAATAACATGACTCTAAACTTTAAGCATACGACTAATAAAAATACAGTTGTATAGCGAGGGACACTTTTGGTTGTCATTCTACCTGATGTGTGTAACCTTTCGCGCCAGTCACTTTGAATTCTTACAGTATTGTTCATAACACCTAACTGAAACGCAGTGCCAATGTATCATATTCTGGTTAAACCACCATAAAGCTTCCCGTTTAATTGATGTAAGATTACAAAGTGTGACTGTTTGTTTATTGACCGTACCTTAGTCGATATGACTCCACGATTTCTCGTAGCTTGAACCCTGTAATTAAATTCAAGACCTTAAGTCACCTTTATTCTTCCGCATCAAGGGACAGACAGTCACTAGAGCAGTTCTATCTTCATCTTAGAATATAGATTCCTAAACACTAAATAAATATATTAATCCGAAGCTTTTGATCCTTGAACACGTCTAATTTACTGAGGATGTACGCTACAGAGTGGAAATGAGATTTTGACATAGAGTTGTTTTTTTAAATTCAACAGTGATGATCCATTATGGGAATTAATCATTGATCAAAAATCTTTGTACTATATAGTTTCATTGTCTTTTGGTTACTTTCGTGAATTAAATTCTATTATTCAATAAACAGAATTTTATGTCTATTCCCATGGAATTAGTTTATTCGGATAGGAAGCAAATTGGTGGAGATTTATAATTAGTACTCGATATTTTACATTTCGTGTTCGTGACGCACCTGCCAGTCGTTCAAATGAAATAAACATACGATTTCTATTCATCAGTGTAGGCAGTGTTCCCTGTCTAAACTTCTTCCAAACAGTTTTATGCTCTAAGAGTGTTTTCACATGATATGCAAAGGAATAACTGTTACAACCACTCTGTATTGTGAAAACTGGGATTCAGTTGAAACTTATTTCTGCGACGAAGCGACTAGAATGTATATTTATTAACAGCTAATAACATTCGAAAAGTAGGTGTTGTCGTGACAGCAGTTTGGTTCAGTATTAATTAGTTTTCAGTGATCTTCTAGCTGACGTTGGTTTCCGGCAAAATCTACATAAACTGTTGAAGGAGAAATAATTGAAAGGCGAATTCAACTGTAAGTTTTAAGGGTGAGTTTTAAAAACCAACATTGAAGCAATCACTTTTGTGTACAGCTTATAAAATCATCGTTAGATTTAGTGAACAATGATCGTCATCTAGAGACGACTGACGAGAAGCAGGTTAAAACGCACTGTGAGTACATTTCATTTTATTCCTTTGCATTGCGAGTGGAGCATAAGGTTTTAAGCTAGAGCGCTTTGAAGTATATCAGTAGCAGTGCTATCTTTTTACGGCTTGGGGTTCCTCCTGACCGATAGCTGCTACCTTGACGTGGAGATCGGGCTCGCACATCGCAATAACCCAACAAGCTACACTGGCTGGAACCAATGTTCCTGCAGGTCCTACCATACCAGGGAGGTTGTTAGGATAGCGATTAGACTAAAAGCAGTTAAACCCTGGGGAACAGGTGTGTAACAGCAGTGAGGTGTTTCCCTCAGATGACCAGCATGCCAGTCAGCTATGCTGTCTCTCCACTCCGGAGAGAGGGAGTTAGAAAAGGTCGACCCCAGCAATTGTACATCCCGACTTACCTTACGGTGGTCCGTAACCGACAGAAAGTTTACTAATACGAAACCAATCCAAACAGGCCGTGAGTGACCGGCCTCAAGCAGTTGTTCCCTGAGCTCTGCGGTCATGGAACACTAACTTTCTTTCTGTTTCAGGTACCCGAAGAATCAATCAACTTCCACGGTGTGGGCAACCGGGAAATAAAAACCGCACACACACACACACTTCCAAAAGCACTTTCTTGAGGTTCCTAGAGCTTTCACACCCAACCGGGGTAAAGGGCTGCGCCGGCCACAGATCGATCCCCAGGACTACGTGCATTGTTGGTTGACGAGCATTCCAACCGCTAAATCACAACCAACTCACTGTGACACTATGCCAAGACCTAAAAATAACCCACCCGAGAAACTGTATCACACACACACACACACTTAATAAACATTAGTTTACAAGTTTATTATCATAAAGTAACAAAGAGAAGTAGTGTACTCAAAAAATTGCAATTCAGTATACCTGTGTAGACTTCATTTAAATTGACTGAATTGACTATATATATGTATATAAATAGGATATTAATCGCTTAAAGCATATAGCATAATTCCTTATAAGTTAAGTTTATGAAATACTGTAAAAGACATGTACACAAAATGACATCAGGCAAATTAACGATTAACCTGATTGTATTAGCAAAGAAGAGAAGAATAGAAGGAAAGAACAACCAACAAAAGAAAGCAACAATAATTAGGAGAAATAAGAATAATTTTCCTTAATTATAAGAAAAAGTGTATTCATCATACACAACTGTAATCAATACAGTACGATACATATTATAAAAGAATAGACAACTACAGAAGATTTAAGGATACAATTTATGTGTGAACTATACAACAGTCTTTCTTCAAAACGAACGAAAGAAAAAAACAAGAGAGGTAAAATACAACGACACTTCATAAAACTGGTTTCGTTTTTGCTTTTCTCTCTCTTTAATTTTATCCAATTATTTTTTTTATTGTACAGCATATTTGAAATAATCATAACACGGGAGTTGTAGTTGATTCTGTTGCATACAATTATTACTAGTACTGGTGATAGTAGTAGTAGTAGCACCATTGTCTGTTTGAAATAACTGTTGGGTCAGTGATGGTGGATAAACAAAATCACTAGTTGATGAGGATGATGTTAAATCATCATGTATATGATGATGATTATTCATAACAACAGCAGGATGATGGGGATGACAGTGAGGATGATGATGCTGAGGCTGCTGGTGCTGATAAATATCTGATGGGATAGATGAAGATTCAGAAGTGGAAATAGAACTAGACGGTAGATTAGAATTATCATACCATCCAGTATGGAATGCAGAAGTAGTGATAGAATGATTATTATTCAGTGCTTGTCGATATGTACTAGACTCATCAGAGGTGATATCAATACTTGGTAGATAAGTATCATGATTATTATTATTATCGAAGGATCTGTTATTCACATTAAGATAGGATGATAATGTATGCGGAGAGACAGTATTATCATCCGGTAGATCACAACCACAATCACCTAATGATGTATTATCTGATGGCATATAACAGATAGCTGAAGGTCGAGTTAATCCACTCTCTGATGTTTGAATAATACATTCATTTGAGCTTAAAGGTGATGTAATAGAGTTTTGTGGGTTTTTGGATTTTTGATTTCCTGTATAGGCTTGATAAGGACATGGAACATCCAGAGAGGTTATACTACAATTGGAATTGTTGTTACGTTTATGATCTGTAATATGAAAAAACGGATTAAATTAATCTTTGATAAAATTAAAATAATCATTTCGAGAAGTGCCAGATTATGAAGAAACAATGTGTTGTATTCACAGTGATAGTGACATTTATATAAGAACAACAAGGTTCAGTGAAGAGTCTCTTTTCGGCGAATTCACTCCCTTAGCTGTACAGTCGCTGGATCAATAAAGAGTGCTATAATTGAACACATAGTCAACGTCGGTCACTTTCTATGCAAGGAGAATTCAGTCAAAGTCATCTAAAAAGTCAAAAGAAGCCTCCTGTTGAAAAAGGTAAGCTTCCCTGTACTTTGCATTGCCGAGGAGGCCTTAGCGCTCCGGATAGAAAACCCTGATTTATGTACACAGAAGAAACTTCTCCGCCCCTCCTTGGGTTCTATGACTTTTTTAAAATAATATTTTCTTGTTTTTTCGAACTTTTTTATGACATTATAGTAACATCTCATTAACCAACCCTTTATTAACTCTTTCTACCTATTAAATAATTTATTTTGGACACGTGTCTCCATTAACATCCTATTTCATATTACACAACCATTGTCAATCCTTATCAATCTTCACCCCCCCCCTAGTTACAATTTTGGTCATTCACCACAATTTAAAGAAATTTTGATGACGTAAACAATCAACCTAACTAATTTTTATTTTCGTTTGACAATCCTAATGTACACATACATACACACACACACAAAATAATTATATATAAATGTGATTGTGAATGAATTCGCGGAAAAGAGACTTCGCTGAACTGTCTTTCTTATATAAATGTCTTCATGGATATTTTCCGTGAAAGTGACATTCTGGTTTGACGTAAACTGGTATCCAACTGTACTCATGCGGGTCAGTCAACCAGTAATACAACACACCATGATACAGTTAGTACACACTTGACTACCAATTGTGGTATCAAACGGGTCACCTATTGTAATCTGAATAATTTCAGCTTTCGAAGGAAACTGGTTAAATTCCACAAAAAAACGGTATATAGACTGCAGATCGCGAATTCAATTCAATGTATTACTACTTCACCCGTGTTTTGAACTGACATGGTTCTCTCTGCTAGACCAAACCGGGTACACCATCGATATGACCTCGGCCGCAAATGAGTGAAACAGTCATCTGATGTCTAGATTACAAGCACTACTAACCGATTTGAGTATTATCTAACTATTCATCATCCAATGAACACCAACCAGTTTTTGGGATAGTTGTTTGAATTGTACATGACGAATATTTTCTTTAACCACAATAGTTATGTGTAACACTGTAAATAACTAACATACTAAAGTAATAACATAAATGAGAATGACATTCAATTAAAGAAACCAGAGCTATGCATACAAAAGAAGATTATTACACCATTTCTGCCCTGTCGTGGTAATAACTTTGTTGATTCCTATTGACTTGGCTTTCATTTGTTTGTTTTTCTAACTCCTTACAATTCTTGTATTCCTCTGAAACTCATACATAATTCAGTATCGCCCGTCGTCTCCTAGGTGGATCCTGATTACAACTCATTAATTATTAAATTACTCATCTTATTGTGTAACTCCAATACACTCGACTAATATATTAACAACCGTCATTGTGACAACTAATCACTTTTCTAATTCGTGGATGGTGACTAGCAGTGGAATCCAGGATGCGCATTCCGTCCTATTTGGGACTCGTCAGCTAAATGTACCTTCATTCCCAGTGAGTGATGATGTTCCCACCGAGGCTCGAACCCAGTGCCCACGGTTTCAAACGCCAAAACGTTGTCCACTAGACCACTTGTGCCACGAGAATCACTTCTTGTGCAAAGGGTCATGTTAATTATTTAATTGAATTTTTAGATTTTTCCGTCGATTGATTGGACCGAAGTGCTCGGTCTGAGACCTGAGACCGAGCACTTCGGTCCAATCAATCGACGGAAAAATCTAAAAATTCAATTAAATAATCATGAAAATATATATAAATGCGGTTGTGCAGCTGCAGAAAGTGAGTTCACTGAAAACGGCTTCTTCACCGAACCACCTGTTTTGTTCTCATTATTGTCTGGATGGGAGACTATTCATGAGACATAACATGGCTTCTATTCCTACCGATTGGATTTCGATGCGATGATACACTCGAGCTTAGAAGTCATAATACGATTTTCGAAAGAAAGTAATATGAATGTAAGCCTAACGGTACTATCGAAAATTTTCCCACCATATATTTAAAATAATTCAAAATTAACGGTTTGTGGAAGTACACTAGTTAGCATCTATCACAATTTGCTTTGGTCACTCGGCATCAGTGAGTATAGTAAAACTTATAATACAAAGCCCAGCCGACAACTGCTACCTTACCGTGGTGGTCGGGCTTGAATACCGCAATGACCCAACAAGCTAAACTGGCTGGGACTCATGTCCCTGCAGGTCCTACTATGTCAAGAAGGTTGTTTGGATAGCGGTAAGACTAAAAGCAGTTACCATGGGGTAAATGGGCTCCAGAATCCAATGGGATCAAATGGCGTATGAACCCATATGGGTCACCGGAAACCATTGCAATGCAGCTCCTGACGCTGCCTTGCGGATTATACTCCAAGTCAAAGGCACGGGAAGTGGTCCCTTAAGAAAAGTACCTGCTTCAGTCTGGGCGCTCGGGCAGTATCTCAGCCCTCACACAATGAATGACATAAAATAAAATAACAAACTATCATTGAAAATCACCGCGCGCTCGTAAAAAATGATTTCAAGTAATAAATAATCTAATACAAAGTACACCACACTATGCATGGAAAGCATACAAGGACTTGTACTACTTATTCTTTTGATAAGTCAAAAATACAACTCAAACAAACGACATATATTAAGTAGGATATCACAAGAATAACGTACCAAAGTTATTATGATGCGCCGACGACACATCGTTTGAGTTAAATTCTGTACTGGTTCTGAGTGTAGCATAATCACTTGGAAGTGTTGACAAATAATCACCAGTTACTGAGTTTGGATGAGGTTGTTGTTGATGATGATGAATACTCGTGTGTTCTTGATTTGACTGTGGTATTAAACGGACATTTGAACATGGTAAGTTATGCAGAGAATTTGGTTCATTCAGTGAATTTAAGGAGGAATCTGCATGTGTAGGGAACGATTGGAAGGACAGTTGATTAAGGTTACACGAAATATTAACCTCATTATGACCTGATTGCATTGTAAACGTTGGATCGAAGTGATCTGTGCTTTCATTTGTAGATCGCCAGTAGGATAAATGCGAATCTTTTGTTTGGTTGACTGGATGACCAACATATGGTGGTGGTGGTACAGATTCAGTGTTTCCTTGTATCAATTGATTTCCTGTAGCCGTATTCATATGATCTTGTACAATTGCACAATTCAACTGAGTTGTATGGGATGTTCTATCAAGGAAATCTGTTTTACTTTGACTGTAGGATGTGTTATTCTCTGCATATGTACTCGCTGAATTCGGATCGGAAGTGTTACATTCAAAAGCTCTATAAAATAAAAGAATATATATACTGAGTTAGTAATGGGAAATCAGTAAACAGGCATAAAAATGGAGGACATTATGAAGATTAATGAACATTTCAACAGACGGTTGAATCAGACTACGGAACATAATTAGCAGAAATGAACTGACTAGGTCAAAAGAACAAACATACGCTATTCCCAAATCCTGTCGTGGGAAAAACATTCGAAATAGTTATGGGCTGTTTTCCGCATAAGAGATACAACAGCGTCTGGTCAATTTCATTTGAATGGAAAATATATAGAAGCGAAGGTATCTCAATTTTCGGGATAACAGTCAATCAATATGTTCAAATCCCTAGAGATGTGATCATAAACGAGACAAGCTTTCAGTGACAATCTCATAGTTTTCCCCTGTCCTGGATTTATGCTTACAAATACTAGCACGATTTAACAATATGTGCGCAGACAGCAGTTTCATAAAGAAATACAACATTGTTATTTGTATAATGCATATGCCAGAGATGTACCTATAACATTTTTTTTTATGATGCAATTAAGAAGAAATACGTGTAGTTCCATTGTGGGTAAAATTTAATTTGACAAAGGCTCACAGGGTTATACAGTAATATTCATTAATGACGTCTTCAGCACAGTTTATTGCCACTCATAATCATATCAAGGTACTCGCACAACTTTCTAACTTCGTTTATATAATTCCATTATATTTCATCACTTGACTTGATTAGTAGTAGTATTTTCCATATTTCAGGTATGAGTGATGAGTCGTTTCTATTGCACGTGTTGGGTATAGACTCGGTGAACCAGGATTAAGTAATCAACTTCTCTCTCTCTCCTTCTGTCCACCTACCTATATTACTTCTTAGAATTTTAACCCTCACCCAAACAACATATTGTGTGGTTGTGAGCAGTGCAAATGCTGAGCTTTTTTCTAAATGACTTATCTTCTTGGGGTCAACGATTCTAACCTCAGCTAAATTCTTATGTTCTGGCAGGCGATCGCACTACTCCTGATCTACTAGTTTGATCTATGTAGTTGACCTCACAGTCATTGCAAGGTATTTTGTAAATTATATTATTTTGTCTAATTTAGTCAACATACAGGGTCGTTTAACCTACAGAGCTCGTCTCTGAGTAAGTTTGTAGGTTTAAATTCCACTCTAATTCCTGCTTATTAAGAATCCTACGTAGGGTCTCAGATGCCCCCTCTTTATATGGTACAACTGTAGATGACTTATATCTGTCTTATTTATGTTATTATTACTAGTTTCACAATTCTTTTTCTTTTGCCCTTTTTCAATCTTCCTAATGAATTTTAAAGGATAGTTATTTCACACCAACGCGTCTTCTGTCTGTTTTATTTCATCATTTAGGTCTTTTCTTGTAATACTTGGTGCTACTGTTCGGTTTGTTAGACACTTCACTAAGCCAGCCTTTATGGACAACGACAGATGAGATGAATTAAAGTCTAAATATCTATTAGTATGAGTCGGCTTTCTATAGACGCTAGCGTAAAGTTTACCTTCTTTTATTCGTTTTATTTTACAATCCAACATACCTAATTATTCTTGTTCATTTTCCGATTCAAATATGAATTTTATTCCCTTTACTAGTGGGTTTATATGTGTCAAAAAGCTAGATATGGTCTTTTTTAACACTGTGAAAGTGTAGGCTGTCATTTCTATAAATATTTAGTCCACTTCAAATTGGATGAGCTCATAGGTACATAACGCTAATAACATATATCCTGACTAGAAGTGTTAATTGCAAAATTCGGATTTTCAACACTAAGGGTCAGGTCAATTCTTCTATATTGTTCAGAAACTTAGCTTGTCAGCAAAAGCACTTCGAACAGATCACTTCGGAATCTTATCAACAGTTGCCTTTGCTGTCTCGATACTGAAGATTTGATGGCCGGTCAGTTAGAAAGGATAAAGCAGCAAGGAACTCTGGCAACACATAACCACGAACCTACCAACCAACAAATATTCAGAAGAAAATGGAGATAAGTTAGACACATGATAAGGATATTGTTGAGTGACACCGTACTCCAGACATACCCTAGGATGGAATTCGAACTGGAAAATGACAAGTCGGACATCCAAGAAAGACAATAGAAGAGATCGTGTGACGAGAAGACGACAGTCCATAGGCAATCATGGAGCTTATGCCCCACTCGGAACATAAGGGGATAATTATTATACACCCGACCGAAAGCTGCTACCTTGACGGTGGTCGGGCTTGAACACCGCAATGATCTATTCAAGCTATACTGGCTGAGACTTATGTCTCTTGAGGTACTACCATGCCAGGCAGGTTGTTTGGATAGCGGTTAAACAAAAAGCAGCTACCCAATCCAACATCATGTCCAATACAAAATCACAAAATTTCATGCCGGATCGGCCGTGGCCCGGATTAACAACGACCGCGCTTCCTGCTGCCGTGTCACAGGGCAGGAGTGATAAATATGCTACTGAGACACACCAAACAAAAGAGAACAAACAAAAACAGGCCGCGTGTGACCGGCCTCAAGCAGTTGTCCCCTGGGCTCTGCGGTCACGCAACCAACTTCCACGGTGTGGGCAGCCGGGAAGTAACAATCGCCCTCACAATCCGAAATGCACACGAAACCTCTCTATTACTCACTCATCTTTGTCTTCATCTTCATCTCTATCATCTTGCCTTCCTTCCACTGATGCAACTCCTCGACTTGATAGCTCTCCACTTCCTCTCCACTCTGCGTCCACTAAAAACGATGGAAGCCAAAAAACCACCACCGACAGCCTCTTAAAGCCGCGCCACCAATTTCATATAGGAGCTCTTAATGTTAGGACACTTTGCCAAATAGGACAACAAGCATCACTAGCCAAGACCCTGGCATCACGAGCCATTGATGTATGCTGTGTTTCAGAAACACGCATACAAGACCCAAGTGTGGTTATTCACCTAACCCCACCTGGCCAACAGGTTGAATCTGCAAAATTCACCTTGAGGGTGTCAGGAGATGCCACAGCTAGTTCACGAGGATTAGCTGGCGTAGGGATAGCTTTGAGTACTAGGGCAGAAAAGACATTGCTTGACTGGATCCCGGTAGATAGCCGAATGTGTGCTGTCCGCCTGAACGGATCAGTAAGAAGGAGGAAGGACTGCACTACTCGCCGATGCCTTTTCGTAATCTCCGCCTACGCCCCCACTGACTGCAGTTCAGATGAAACGAAGGATGAGTTCTACCAAAAGCTGTCTAGTTTGGTGCGAAAGGCTAAACGCTCAGACATAGTCGTTCTAGCTGGTGACTTTAACGCTCAAGTAGGGAAATTGTGTCAATCTGAGAAGGATGTCGGTGGCACCTATGGAGTTCCGTGCCAGCGAACCGACAACGGTGACCGTCTCCTACAGTTCTGCTCTGATAATCATTTGTTTCTTGTAAGCACTAACTTCAAACACAAGGAGAGACACTGTTTGACTTGGAGACCCCCTTCATCAAACCAACGCTGGACACAAATAGACCACATAGCAATAAGCTATCGTTGGCGTGGGTCGGTAGGAGATTGTCGCTCCTTCTGGAACACGTGCGTAGATACCGACCATGCACTGGTCCGCGCTCGGGTGTGCTTACGACTGAACGGACGTAGGAAACAGCTGGCGGTAAAACCATCACGTCCCCAGCTCGATCAGGAAACTAAATCCGTATTTGAGGAAGAACTAGCTAAACACATATCTGTGTTCGACAGCTGTGCTCACCCTGAAGAAGCTTGGAAAAATATCCAGGCAGCCATAGATACAGCTGTAAAAGCTGTGAATAAGGTAAACCCAAAGGTGAGTAAAAACCACTGGATCTCCACCGCCTCATCCGAACTGATAGATGCTAGAAGACTTATTCCGGCGAGCTCCGAATTCAATGAGGAGCGAAAGCTGCACAAGAGGAAACTTACGAAAAGTCTCCGCAAGGACCGTGAACAGTGGTGGGCGACAAAAGCCAAAGAGATGGAGAAAGCTTCGAGGATAGGCAACACCAGGCAACTCTTTGGACTCATCAGGGAAACGGGTGGGAGAAGACAAATCATTAGTGAGACAATCTCGGAAAAAAATGGCACTATAATTAGCTCCCAGGATAGACGACTGGATCGTTGGAAAGAGCATTATGAGGAGCAGTTTAATTTGCCCACAGCCACGCTCAACCTTCCGAGCATCCAACACCTCCCTGAATGGGATATAGACACAGGTCCTCCGTCACTAACTGAGGTTACTAAAGCTGTCACCAATCTGAAACTAGGCAAAGCAGCGGGACCTGATGGAATGACTCCAGAGGTATTTAAGTACGGTGGAGACAGCTTACTGTCCGGATTAACTGAGGTACTAGGCAGCGTCTGGGAATCAGAAGAAGTCCCATCGGGTTGGTGTAAGTCACTGATTATCCCCATATACAAGAAGGGAGACAAGTCTTCCTGTGATAATCACAGAGGGATTAGCTTGACTAATATAGTATCTAAAGTCTTAGGCTCAATAATCATGCGTAGACTGAGTGGTGCTCGGGAAGCACAAACACGAGAGAGCCAGGCAGGCTTTAGACCAGGAAGAGGGTGTATTGATCATATCTTCACCCTCCGACAGATTCTAGAACATAGGCATTCCTACCGGCGTCCAACAGTCATTATATTTCTTGACCTAAAGGCAGCATTCGACTCTGTCGATCGGGAAGTTCTCTGGAGATGCTTGGCTGTAAAGGGAATTCCGAGAAAATATATTGCACTGATTAAGGCACTCTACTCGTACTCATACAGCCAGGTGAGGGCTTACGGCGAGCTGTCATCTGAACTGATGACGACCAGTGGTGTCCGTCAAGGATGCCCATTATCTCCTTTTCTATTCAACTTCATCATAGATGTGTTAATGGACTTAACCCTAGGTGACTTCAGCGACTCAGGGATTGACTTGCTACCGGGAAATAATCTCGTTGACTTGGAATATGCAGACGATATAGTCCTTCTAGGCGAAGACGCTGACGAAATGCAGAGTCTTCTAAACACCTTGACCCGCAATCTACGAATGTTTGGCATGCGATTCGCTCCCGCCAAATGCAAGATGATGTTACAGGACTGGACTACATCGACGCCTAGTTTAAAAATAGGAAGTGAAGTGGTAGAGCACGTTGACCGCTTCACTTATTTGGGAAGTACCATCAGCCCCAACGGGCTGATCTCTGACGAAATCTCAGCACGAATACAAGGGGCTCGTTTCGCATTTGTTAGTTTACGCCGACTCTGGCGTAGACGAGATGTTCGACTATCGACCAAAGGGCGGGTGTACTGCTCATCAGTCCGCTCCGTCCTCCTTTATGGTTGTGAGACCTGGCCACTGAGAGTGGAAGACATGAAAAGACTAGCTGTCTTTGATCATAGGTGCCTGCGTTCTATTTCCCGTGTAAAGTGGCATAATAAGGTGAGCAACATGGAGGTTAGGCGTAGAGTTCTAGGTAAACAGGGGAAATCAATCGACGAAGTCGTGAAGCTACAAAGACTGAGATGGTTAGGACATGTGTTACGTATGCCAAGCCATCGCCTCCCTCGACGAGCAATGTTAGCGGATATAGGGTCAGGCTGGAAAAAAGCTAGCGGCGGTCAAACAAAAACTTGGCACCAGTCAATGAAATCCACAACAGTTGGTCTAAGCCACGTAGGAAGGTGTAGACTGTCCTGGTTGGGGTCCTCGGGACGGTAAAAATCTATGGTTGGAAACAATTGGTGACATGGCTCAAAATCGTTCTCAGTGGCGCAGATGCATCCACTCCTTGTGACTTATGATTTCCAATGAAACTGTTTTGTATTTCTTTATTACTCTTTTGTCTCACACCTCTGCTCACTGTTTCTATTATGCTTTTCTTGTACTTTCTTCTCTTGCTTCGCGTGCTACACGGAATGTGGCGACTTGAACTTCCGCACATTTGTGCAAAGTTCTATGTCGAAAACAGACAGACAGACAGACAATTATTATACATGGGTTAAAACACAATCAAAGCTGCGTTATTCAAAACGACGCATAAATAAGCAGTGAACTTACTTTATGGATGTCGTTGTACAGACAATATATTCAACTTCTTCACTATAAGGGTTTACAAATGCGAATAAATGACACCTTACTGACAATAATTCATTAGTCAGCTTAGAACGAATATGAACCATTGTTGTAAATGTTTGACCCTTGAATTTCCAAGCTAAACAAAAATAAACAAACAATCAGATGCGTAGTAACTTAGCAGATTATCCCAGAAACAAGGAGCTACATCATACCTACAGTTCAAAGATAGACAAGTTACGTAATTTTAGTGGGCACACAACAAAACCTACTTCAATTTTTTTGGGGGGTAAATCAAAAGTAAACCAGCTTCCGGAATGAGTATTTGGAAGGTGTCAACCAATCACACATTACTGTCTGTACGTATATTTCATTAGCACTATTTTCTTCTTTATGGGAAAGCAAACCTCACTGGAAAATTCGCATCAAACCACCTATCTGAGCCTGCAATGTCCATGCTGTTTGTTAAGTCTATCTAAAACCGTAGAATTCCGCGTCATGGATTTCTACTCGGCATGTAAGAATCCACATGAAGTCAATCACTTGACACCAATCAGACAGGATACTAAAACCACAAATTTTATAGTTCGAGGATCAAAAAAACAAGTTTTCACAGCCTTCTAAAACTTTAAACCAATTAAATGTTAGAGCAGAAAACACTCCCTTTGATTGGATTTTGGATTAACTGACGCAAGTGCACTATCACACTGCGTTACTGTTAGAATTAAGATCGTGACACATATATGTCTTATAGCGATCTCTGCGATATAACTACTGGTTGCAGAAAAGGCAGAAGATAGGAAGCAGATAGAAAGAGAATTAGGCGATACATTCGGTGTCCTAACCAAACCAACTGTTATTGAAAAAGCCTGTTTATATCAATGCTCTACTTTTACTCAGCACTAGCTTCTTTCATGAGGCGATATACCGTCACACATGCCGTCCTGCAAACTTGACACTAGTGGGGGTTGAGATAAGTTGGAAGAAAATTAGTTACTATGTGGAAATGTTTGGCGAATGACTGTCTCCTCTTTATATAGTATGAACCTGGGCAACTTATGTCACAAACGCAAAATTATAGTACTATTACATGATCATTTTGTTATTTCAAATTTTACGTAGTTGGGGCACATTGACTTTTGTTATTATTGATTCCACTACCTACCAGTCACTAAAACTATATGCCCGTTGAAATGTTAATATAACCTGAAGTTGAAAACTATACGTTAACAACATCAGAAGAGTTTGAACACTAACTGATAGCTACTTTGGAATGGGGTAAAGGAGGAATATTCAGCAAAAGAAACACTTAGGCAGAAATAAGCTGATAAAATGAATGGTCTACGAGCTCGTCCTGTAACCAGAAGGTCCTGGGTTCGAACCCAGTTGGGGTGAGTAAGTACTGCTGAAGAGTCCCAAACTAGACTGACGAAACAGTTGTCCATTACTCCCAGGTTTTGAAAATGGTTCTCTAACTGATGTCAGCTCAAGATGAAACCCTGTAACCAATCAATCGAATCCCTACAAATCAAAACTTGAATAACTGGGCGAGAGATAAAAATCCTAACACAACTTAAAGAGTACATCAGTCACGGATGTAGCGGATGTTTTCCCTTGTTTAAACTTCTAAACCGCCCAACTTATGTGTTTAGCAGATTGTATATATATATATATATATATTTTATATATATTATATATATATATATATATAAACACCATGATCGATAATTCTAATCAACAAAAAATTCTAAATGTGAATTCGATACATACAGGAATGTAAGTTAATCACTAACTTTGTAAACAAAAAATTTCATTATAATTATAATAGTAATTACCTTTATCAAAGACTTCTTGAAAACTAATCTTATCTGTAGAAGATGGTAGAAAATTTCCAAATGCTTTACCAAGAACTTCATTTGTTTCTAAGCCAAGAACATTTTGAATTCGTTGGTCACAAAATGTAATACGTGTGTCTACTGAATGACGAGTAAGAAATTCATTACAACGATGCGGATAAAGATCAACAGCTTCAGGTTTGTTTACCAACTGAAGACGACCCAAAGCAATTAAACATTGAGGTACTTGAATATCTGGGCATTTATTATTAGTAGTATTATTATTGTTATTATCAGAACGATTATGAAGATTATCAGACATTTGAGGATTAAATTCATTTTCTTCTGATATTAAACCATCTGAAATATAAAAAGTAGCATGCTGTTTTTTGAAAATTCAATGCCAAATGAAAGTAAGTTAAAGTTGCATAAATCAATAAACTGTAAACCATTAAAATAAATTTTATGCTTCAGAAACTGCCATAAAAGGTTAAGATGTTGTGTACGAGTAAGAGATTACTCAGAAGGAAAACAAGCGATGTAAAATCTGAAAGGGAAGTTGCTCAGTTAGATATAGAACACCACCTGCCTTCACTCCATACTGAAGATTAAATAGCCAGAAAGGATTAGCCACGAGGAACTCTGACAACGAATCAACAACCTATTGAGCTCCACAAATGTACACACATGAATAGAGATGGATCGGACGCTTGTAGAAAAGACCTTTAAATGACATCATACACAAGGTCAAATGGAACCAGTTGGACGTCCGACAGTGATATGGAGGAAATCGTTTGGGGAACAGATGAAAGCTTATGGGCAATTGTGTAGAAATTACGATGATATGGAGATGTGTTGTTGAAGGTTAGCGTTGCACTTATAACCCAAGAAAATAATAATAACAATAATGTAACAGAATGTGACGAGAGTAATCTCAAAGTCAAAATAATTCAGTCAGTCTTGAATTCGACAAGCGTCTAACTGTTACCCTTCTTAACGAAAACACAAGAATAAACAATGTAGACTTATTACCGACAACATGATACAGGTTAAAAAAAACTCAACTCGTTATATCCGAGAGAGATAGCTAGGGAATTATGAGGTCCTCACTTCAAAAAAGACACTAGAATTTTTTATTCCTTCACATTTACAGTGGAACATAGGGCTTCAAGCTAGAGGCTTGAAGTTTCAGTAGCAGAAGTGTTTAGTTTTATGGAAAGGGGATGTTAGACCCATACCCAACCTTCCCTCTTTACCAGTCTTATTACTGGCTTAGAGAGGTAAAGGGGTGCATCGGTTTCCCGGGATCAGACCCCGAACCATATGAGGCGTGGTTGGTAAGCATTCTGCCGCTGTAGCACCGAAGCCATTGGAATTAGTGAGATTCTATTTCAAAATATACACCTGATAAAGTTTTGCACAAGTTTCAATGAGACTCGATATTTCATACAATTTATATTAAAGCACAAAAGAGTAGGTCTTCAATGTGTAATTTGCTGCTTAAATGAAGTTATTTACCAAGCAGTAATACACCTAAATGGTGTTCGCTTCTTTCATTTATGCATTTTTTTGTAACACAGTGTTCCCTTTCACAGCCAGTAACACCACCTAAACATATGTTTGAAATTAATAACAGCCTGTGATCTGTAATACAGAGTAGATAGGAAATCCGTAGTGACGACCAATTCACAATTTCTGCTTCCCCAAGGCACGTCTTTATCAACACAACACAACAACATCTCACGATTCTATATACTACTCACTGATTGATATAAGTAGACACATACTACTCACACCAACAAGTAGCGCTTATCGGTCACACTGAAGTGATGCAAATATCGAACAACAGTTTCTCCCCTTTGGAGTTGAGCTCAATAGTGGTATCTAACTACTCACATATCAACCAATCAGTCTTATATGGGATCATGCAATGGTGCCTGCTATCTTGACGGGTGATGTTAACAAACATATGATGGATCAGGTTGGAAAAGAGCCAGTGGTGGTCGAACCAAAACATGGCTTCATCAGTCAGTTCAAGTCAGCTACATAGGGAGATGTATACTTCTTGACTAGTTGGATTCCCCGAGATGGTAAAAACCGGTGGCGACTGGAGACAATTGATGATGTAGCTCAAAATCGTTTTCGATGGCTGGCGCAAACGCATCCACTCCTTCTGACTTATAATACCCAATAAAACTAAATTGTCCTTCGATATTACTATTCTTTTTGCCTCATACCTCTGTTGACTATCTCTGTTTTGCATTTCTTTTAACTTTCTTCTCTTGCTTTGTGTGCTGAGTGAAGTGTGGCGACCCGAACTGCTGCACATCGGTGCAAAATTCTGCTTCGAAACCAATCAGTCAGTCAGACTGCCAACTACAACTAACAAGCAGATCATAAATTGTGATTTGAATAATCTCGGTTTCCAAAGCGAATTGTGTGGTGAAATTGTAGCTTGAAATGTGTGCAAATCACTAATTCAATAATAATAACATTTCAATAGCTATGTCCTCGTTGAGCAATGCCTTTATTGTGTTGTGTTTCAGGAGGTGCAACATTTTTTTTATAGAAAGAGAACAGAATCTGTAAATTGAAAGAAACATCCCCTTTTAGATATTGTAATAAAGCAGTAAGTGCAGAGGCATTTCATCTCGATTGGAGAAACAACAACCAATTTAGTAAGTTCTCTAACGAAATCTCATCTACGTGACAAGGGTGTATGTTCATGAAAGTACACACTGGATTATGTGATGAATAATGAATGAATGATACTACCGGGCTATTTCCAGGTAAAAATTTAATGCTGTTTTAAGCTTTACGTAAAACAACCAGATAAGCCATATATATATATATATATATATATATATATATATATATATATATATATATATACCTAGGTAATGTGTACCTGGTAATAAATACCCCCATCATAGACAACTTCAAAAAACCTAAAAATACTAGAGTTAAACTACTTTCTTTCAATTAGCAGATAAATTTTACAAGCACTAGTTATCATTATTACTGCACAGAACTCCGCTCGGGACAAGCTAGATTCAAGAAAGGCAAATCATATGCTCGTCGAATTGCAACTCTACGCATCGTCATCACAGAACAAACCATAGAATGGCAGTCAAACCTCTGCTTTAACTTCATCGACTTTGAAAAGGCCTTCGACAGACAGAGTTGACCGAAAAGTAATTTGGTAACTACTTCAACACTACGGCTTGCAATGCTTTATCAACTTCATTCAACAGTTATATGACAGTGGTATGTGTCAAGTGATCCACAACAGAAAACTCAGCGAGGCATTCAAAGTGAATACAGGAGTAAGGCAAGGCTGGCTGCCTATTATCACCGATGATATTCTTAATTCTGGTGGAATGCAAATGGGAGGCGATGAGTGGGTTGTTGATGCTAAGGTGACATAGAGGAGATGGTGCGAAGAAGGGATGAGAGAGTTTGGTCAGTCGTGGAGCCAGTTGAAGAGGACAGCATAAAACAGAACGATGTGGAGATGTGTTGTTGAAGCCTGGTGTTCCACTCGGAACGCAAAGGAGTAATAATAATAAAGTTATTAGTCCGATCAGTGTTTCTACGGCATAAATCTACTGTTTGTGGATAGATTAGCTTATTCGTGTAAAAACAAATAAAATAAATAAAAAACAATTATTGGCAAATACATTTAAAGCTAACTAAGATGAACCCAGGGTCTTCAGGTTATATAAGAGGTGATTGCATTCAGTCACTGGGTGAATTAAAGATAAATGAGATGATAAGGAAATTATCTATAGAGTAATGTGCAATAAACGTATTAGGTATAAAGAATATTTACTCCAAACTGTCAGCGAATTAAGGTGGTCACAAACTTATGAATCTAAAAAATGTAATGCATGGATTTCACCAAAAGGCTTGCAGATTAAATGTGTTAATTTGGGAAACATATATGACATATAAATTATCAACAAATGATATAAAATTTCCACCTTACACACCATTTATCTGAATGAATCAGTTGTATTTTAGGTCAAGTTAAATTTTAAGCACCACTAATTACCAGTGGAGTGTGGTCGCACCAATGGCCTTGAAACGCTCACTCAGCAAGTTAGTTAGTGAAACCTGGCAAATAATGTTGTCATTATCAATAAGATATACTCATCGAAGTGTTATGCTATGAAATGGGATCTCTAGCAAGTTTCAGCTTACGTTTGGGAAAGATCAACTTACAATTTAAGCCAAGAACAAGTTTGGATTAGGTTAACCTAATAAAGGCGACATTAGGGTTGGTTTGAATTAGATTACAGTTAGTTTAGGGATATTTTCACCTTAGTGTCAGGTTCAGGGAAGATTCGGGTTATTATTAGGGTTAGAAGACCTAAACAATTACATGCATAGAACGTGGTTGTATTATTCTGTTGATATAAAAATAGAACTTGTGCATTGTGGTAGAGTACAATTCCACTGTGAGCGAAATCTGTTTTGATAATATCCTACAGTGTTATACAATAATATTTATTGATGACGTTTCGAGCACAGTTTAGTGCCTAGTAAATATTACAGCATAACACTGTGAGGTCATTTGCAGACTGGTAGTTGGTGGTGCTTAAAGTTTAACTTTGCCGTATTTTACTAGTGTGTAATACCGAGACACATTATTATTATTGTTTCACTCTTTTCAGTTAGCTGTGCTTTTTCGTTTTTACAGGATGAGGTTGCTTACCGTCCCTACCCCAATCCTCCCTCTTAACCGTGGTTCATATCAGATAAGCGAGATTAGAGGGTGTTGTGTCGGCTAGGCACCGGATCGCAGACCATGTGTATGGTTGATGAGTATTTTACCACTGAATACTACTAACTTGATAATGTATCTAAGGATTACTAACTGGGAGGGTGCTTTATAGATCATGGTTCATACTGAATACACATTAGACAATCCTCACAACCTCTTGATCTCATAAAAGACATATTTTGAAAACGCATGAAAGAACCGTTCGCAAAACCTTAAGTTTTAAATTAAAAAGCCTACAATGAAATGTTATCGGTGTGACTCGTGACATTGAATTACTTGGCTACAACATAACAATCTTAAACGGACAGAAAAAAAAGTAGATTAAAATCGAACAACTATGCTACTAGTTACTTTCGAGATAGATAACAGCGATGAAGAAATTAGAAATAAGGCGAGTGAAATTTTGTCTAGAAAGTAGGACAAATTGCCTGCATAGTAGTACTGCTAGACTGAAAAAATAAAAAAAAACCGTGTATTGTTTCAAAATATATCAAAAGTTCTGGAAATGGCAAAATAAATGACCGATACAAAGATGAAATATGTGCAAATGATGTTGTTAAGTTGTGAATATTCA